GGCTAACGTGAAACATGGCGAGGTGCCAATGCAAACTCTGAAAGCCGTCTCTCAAAAATCATCAATCACAGTCGAATACATTGTAAGGCTGCATCATATGCTGGTAGTAAATAATAGTCAATTATAATTTAATCACAGTAAAACATTGAGGGACACCGGTCGAATCGTTGGAATGACACAGACTGTTGACTATTTTCCACAGAGATCACGTGAAGAGTTACATAAAAAGAGGTTTCTGTTGTTCCGGGAAAGGATTGTACGTGGGCGGAGCCTGAAACGGAAATACATAAAGCTTTGTAGACCATTCTGTTATGACCACCAGTAAATGGACATCTTCAGCTCATTCGAACTATTCGATAACTTACTCCATGAAGCATGAGCCGTTGTTGTTCAATAATTCCCATTGTTAGTTTTAACACAGACTTTATGGCATTGTGACCAAAACCATGAGTGAGCTGGAATAGTATCCATCATGATTTTCTTTCGAGTACTTAGGATTCAAAAAGAATTTTACAAAGAAACTTACTAAGCTCAACGTATTGATTGTGTGGGTGGAAGCATCCTTTTCCACGTAGTCTTCAGGATTTTCAGGCACGTCCTCGAAAGCATCCAATACTCCTGCCAACACGCGGCTGCAAGCGGTTGATTAGTGATTTTGGTTTCATCGTTCTCCTCCTTTTTCTTTACCCATACACGATTTCATGTAAACTTTTCTCATCTTTTCATTTTTTTTCTGATTTTTCACACAACTACTTAAAAACCTTGTCTATACGTTAGCTGAATAAAGTGGAATAAAATGGCTGCCGTTTCATGATTTCTTGCAAATTTTTTATGTCAGCTGCTTGTGGATGTGGTACTTATCCCGAAAATCGCGTTGCGCTCTCCGCACTCGATCGCGCAGATGCGCGCTATGAACGGAAAGGTTTAAATTCCAAGTATAAGGATACAGTAACCGCAGCGGAACCACTGCCGTTTGTCGGGGGGATTCAAAAAGAAGTACCTCCAACCGCTTACTGCTGCTGAGCCTTCATGTAAAGACTCTTTTTTTCAGAAATTGCAGTACTCTGAATATCTAACCACTAGTTAGGAACAAAACCGTTCGTCACCGATGCAAAAGACGATCTCGACTACTTAAAGCATTACCGTATGGTAGCAGTTCAACTAAGTTGAGTAGTAGGTGTAATAAACCTCATTCATAATGATCCAAGCTAGCTAAAGTGGATTCCAGACACCCACCTGGCCCCATCCAAATCCTGAAGAGAATAAGTCATTTGGCTGGAACGTCGAGCAACTGAGCAGATGTTGAGAGCGTTTCGGCAGAGAAAATCGAAGTCACGGGCCATTAACACAGCTTCCTCTGCAATAAATGTTTTTCTCTGAACTTGGTCAAAATCAGGCTCTGAGGTCAAGCCCAGCTTGTACAACTTTGGATGCTGTCAGCCTAGAGCCGGAATGCTTTCAAATAGCGTTATCACAGAAGAATGCACTATAGTTCACTTACTTTCACAAAGAGCTGTAAAAGTAGTAGTCGTTGCAGTTTTACGACGTCCAGGAGGTAAGATCACTCCTTTTTCAGCCAATCTATTCCTTAGCACTCTGCATCCATCCTTCAGTTTGGCCCTAAACCATAAGATACTTCGGGGAGTGTGTCATCACGCCTAGTTTCCGGTTTTTTCAGCTAAAATCGTCATAGGCGGGGCCAGAACCAGAAGTCCGCAATATGCTACGGTCCAGAGCTCTTTCGCAATTCAGTGTGTGCACTGAGCGGCAAAGGATCTCTATTAATAGTGAACTATGTAATCTTCTGCTTCCTTGTTTAAATTGTAACAATTTCCTAATTTTAATATTATTTTCCCCTATATTGAGGCTATTTGTTTACACTGCTCTTCAAAAGGTGCTTGACCGCACTGTCCATTCGGATGGAAATAAATGCATTGAGCTCGTGAAAACAGCTGCAGTAAGTGAGTGGGGTCCACAGTTCCAAATGCGAGTTTCCCAGCGACGGGCGGTGCCATTGCGTGAGCCACGCGCGGCGATCAATGAGCGCTGATCAGCAGGCAGATCAAAGTTGTTCTAAACGCTCGTTTGCCCTGCTACCATAATTTCGTTTACCGAGTTATTATAGCTATTACGTCGTCTACTGGTCGGAAATAGTACTCACAATCAGTAACTTTCACCACTTGAGAAATCTCAACGTAGTATCTAGTTTCGACGTTGCGGAAGCCATGGCATGTGTCCGTTTATACTCTGACAAAGTGAAAATGGATGACCGCACTTTGCTGCTAACATTTCATTGGAGTAAAGTTGAAACTATTGGTTTTGGTGCTGAGAGTTCAAATGCATAAACGGGGATCAAGGAAAGGATTCGTTTGAGCGATATCGATTGGGAGCATTGATTTTTGTTCCGTGCGCTGGTGCTGGCCGCATGCGATAGCCAAACTAGTGATCAAACTTTCTAGGGGCTTTGAACCGTAAATCTGCCTCATCTGGTGTCTTCATCACTCCGTGGGCATGGGCGATCTCTATGAGATAATCACCAATCAATACTAAATCAATGTGAGAAGGCTCGTCGATCCTCGACAGCGATTCGGACATGGATCCAGCCTGAGCTGTAGGCGTGGGCCCGTGCGAGCGTCACAACCGTCTCTGTGTCAACCCCATGTGGACGTTATGTTTGGAAAAACTCCATAGTGATACAGACATCTTGGAATTTATGTACTTTGGACTGCTCCCCTTTACTAACAGTTTCTTGCCGTTATGTGGGGAAAATTAGCAAACCAGATTTATCGTCTATTCTTCAAGCCTAGATTATTGTGAACTGAAGAGCGAAGTTAATACTTTACAGCCTTACTTTCTGAGAATACTGTTCACGAGACTCGCGTGCAGTGTTTCAGGATGAGATAAACGCCGCTGAATTTCACCCAGAGTCACCTAAAACATCAAGGGATTGGTAAGGTTGATAACTTTTCGAGTTAATTATCGATGCGTCATTATTTCATACTCACCTACTTTGTAGTTCTTTATTCATACCTGATATTTAGTGGAAGAGTTGAGTAAGCACAGTCTGCCAGTTGTTTCATCAAACGTTTCTCTAGAGTCGAACAAAGCTGGCTTTAGATTGCCAGAGATTTCATCGAACGTTTCTCTAGAGCCAAACGGAACTGGCTTTGGATCTCTCTTTTCTGAAATAATCCGCTAAAATAATGATGAGAGGACTGGCACGGAGGCTCAAGGGCTACAGGTGCCGTTTACCAGCTGTGGTTGACTTACCGTCTACTACTAACTCAAGATCATTGTCTATAACAGTGTTACCCTGTGATGGATAGGCGGATGTTTCCTGAAAGAAGTCACTTTATTGGAGTGCGCCCTGCATTCTACTTCCATCCATTATCGGCACTGAATGCGTATCGAGCCTATACAATGACTTGTACACAAGTCAGAGTTTTTTTTTTT